AATGCCGAATCAAACAGGGTCTGAAAATTCATTACTGGATGAAGATGATTACTTTTTGAACTCTGGGGATCTTGCAGGAATTCCAGTCGTTGGTAGTGACAACGAGGATGAGCAGGAATTTAATTCAAAGGACAATCTTGTTTCTTCAATTCATACTGATGATAGCTTGGAAGTAGAAAGAAGAGTCACACAGCATGAATCAGACAATGAAAATGAAATGCAAATTCCAAATAAGTTAAAAAAAGACTTTCCCAAACATTTTGATCAGGTTTCTGTCTTTAAAGCTATACGGAAAGATTTTAATCTAGTAAGAGAAAACAGCAAAGAGACATTTTCTGGAAAAGAGAAAAATAGAGACCTAACTTATGAACGTGAAAAACGGTTGGATAAACCCCATAAAGATTTGGATTCACGATTGAAAAGCAGTTTTTATGATAAAGCAGGTAATAATTGTTGCACTAGAACCATTAACACAGTGATAGAATACTACTAATAATACTGCTTTTTATGTTACTAAAGTATGAACAGTTAAATTCGTCCTTAAGCTTGTAATTTTTCTTCTTATTCTTTGCATAGTGACTGTATTTCTTCCAGTAACTTTTGTTAATTGTGTAAATGATTGAAAATAGCTCTAAGCTTCATTTCTCCCTCCCCTGGTTGCAATATTTTGATGAGAAGGCAAGATAATTTGAATCATCTATTCATTTTCTTTTGTTGAATGTTAGAACTTGAGGTTGGATTTAACTTCTTTGTGCTGTAAGCACTAAGTTCAAACTGCTGTTTTAACAATTAGTCCAAATTGGGAACCAGCAGTTGGTGTAATGGCTGTGTCGCTGGACTCCCATGTAGTCGACCGCGGTTCGTGTCCCGGACCCGGTGGCTTAAAACTCACGCCGGGCGCGTGTGTGTGCGTGCTCAAGATCCCGAGAGGAGAATGGAGGAGAAGGGACTGCGGCGTAACCATCCCCCCGGGGGGTGATTTCTCACTTTCTGTCTCTATGTCTCTCTCTGTCTGTCTGGCGAGCGCACGCGCCCTACAGTGAAAATCTCTCCAAAAAAAAACCAAAAACAATTAGTTAAAATTAGGGAGATTTTTTTTTAAAAAAATAACATTGCTATTTTATGTTTTAGATGTTTCTTAAGGCTCTTCTTTGAGCCTATTTGCCTTGTGTACCTTGTGCTTTAATTCTAGTTTCTTTTTTTTTTTTTAGAGAATTATTTCATTTTATTCATTATTATTTTTTAAATTTAATAAGGGACAGACAGAGGGAAAGCAAAAGAGCAAGCCGCCTGGTCCAAGACTTGAACCACTGTCAGCCATATGGTATAGCACCTTGACCACCATGCCACCCACTGGTGCCTCTAGTATCATTCTTAAATATAGCATATATTTTCTTCTCTGCTTTCCTTTTGTTCTATTGTTCCATTTGCCTGCATGTCATTTCTCTCTTTGTATATATGCCTATAATAGGACTTCTTACCCAACAATGACTATCTCATAAACTTTTTCTATTTTTTTAATTTTTAATTTTTTTTATTTTTTGGAGAGGTTTTTGCTATAGGGCACCTGTGCTTGCCAGACAGACAGAGAGAGACATAGAGACAGAAAGCGAGAAATCACCCCCCGGGGGGATGGTTACGCCGCAGTCCCTTCTCCTCCATTCTCCTCTCGGGATCTTGAGCACGCACGCACACACGCCCGGCGTGAGTTTTAAGCCACCGGGTCCGGGGACACGAACCGCGGTTGACTATGTGGGAGTCCAGCGACATAGCCATTACGCTAACTGCTGGTTCCCATAAACTTTTTCTATTCTGTAATCTTTTTTTTTTTTTTTAAGAATTATTTTCTTTAACTTTATTTATTTGTTTGTTTATTTATTTATTTTAGTTTGGCTAGAGAGAGAGAAAGAGAGGATGAGAAAGCAACTGTCAGGTCCGAGATGGAACTATAGTTGGCCATGTAGGAGTTCAGCGCCCTAAACCACAGTGCCACCTGCCGGCCCCCCATAATCATTTCTGACTGCTTACTTCAACAATGAATTGTTTCCTTATCTGTGTTTTGTTTATGCCTCATTATTTGTAGTGCACATCATACAGTGATATAGTTTTGTAATTGTTTTGCCTTACCTTCTAATGTAGGAATTTCTAGCATCCAGGAAACATGCTAGATTTCTAGAGTGTTCCTTACTCATTTTTTATCCTTTGGACCTAACATAGTTCAGTGAAAATGATAATCCATCCGTAAATGTTCAATAGACGTGAGGGGAAGCAGTTACACTATACCAGTCCTTATGTTTCTTTTGGCAATGCTAGGAAATATATGGTAGAAAGAACAGTATTATTAAAAAGGACTACCGTTTTGAGTGTCCATTATGTACAAGACCGTGCAAGGGTATACTATACATTTTCAATATATATGACTCAATATTTTTTTTTCAAAAGGATTATGTAATTTTTATTTATTATTATTTTAATTTGCCAGAAAGAGAGAGAAGGAAAGTGAGAGAGCAAACCGCCAGGTCTGGAACTCAAACAAGGTTGGCCATGTGGGAATCTAGCTCCCTAACCACTATTCTCCAGTATGTATTTCACTGTCTCTTATAGGAATATTGAAAATTAGGAGAGTACTTCTCAAAGGACATCATGTCTGTTAATAAAAGGAATAGGTCAGGCAGTAGATACATCAGTGACTAGTTGAAGACAGTTATAGAAAAGTTTGTCATGAGGCAAATAACTGAAATAATGAGTTTTAGGAATTCTTTTTTTTAAATAATTATTTAATTTTATTTATTCATTTGTCTATTTTAATTCGACCAGAGAGACACAGAGAGAGACAGAGAGAGAGAGAAAGCGAGAAAGCAGGCCACCAAATCCAGGACTGAAAGGATGGTCAGCCATGTGGGGGTGTCCAGCGCCTTAATCATCACACCACCTGCTGGTCCCCTGAGTTTTAGGAATTCTTAGGAGAGAGATGAATTTTATCTTTGTGGTTTTAGTATTGAGCAAGGAAAAGCTATAAGATAGGGTAGAAGTTAGATGGTGACAGATTGTGTAGAACTTAGAGTGAAATTACCTTTTGGGTGTTTTTGAGGGACCCAGTTTAATGAATGAATGTTGAAAAAGAGTTGATTATTGAATAATAGCTTTCTGGGTCACTCTTTATAAGATTTGTTATTCATATACATATGTTTGTTTTTCTTTAGTGGCTAATCAAGTTGAAGAAACATTACATACCCATTTACCACAAACCCCAGAAACAAACTTTAGGGTAAGTTTTCAGTGTGTATGTAGATTGCTATAACTGTGACAAGGGTCAAAGATTTCTTTATGTCACTTTCTAAACTTTTAACTTATATTTGTTAGAGTGAATTTTTTTTATTGTTTTTTATTTGTTGTATTATTTGGTTAAGGGTATCTTCAGAGACATTCTAAGAAACCTCAGCTCCTAAGTTTTTCTTTATTTATTCTGACAGATATATAGCATGTATATTTAATTAAGCATATATACTTAATTAAGAATCCCTATAGCATATGCTATATGCCTACACTTACTTTAGGTATAGGGACTCTTAATTAATGTTCATAGAGGTCTTCATTTCTTTTTTTTTTTTTTTTTTTTTTTTTTTCTTTTTTTTTTTCTTTTTTTTTCTCTAATTTT